TGTTGCTTATATCAATAGCTGATCTTCCAGTATCAAAGTCTCTTAGGCATGCATAAGCTTCAGAATTATGATATTCAGACACAAGTTTCTTGCTTAGATGTTTACTCTAAGCAAGACAAAGTCATACAAATTAAAAACACTTAGTGAAATCCCTGATCAGAGTCCATATTCCTCAGGGGAAATTACTTGAACGGAGGCTTGCCATATTGCAGATTTGGGCATTTAACCATTGCATTGCAGTAGTCGCGTGTTTGTACTTCTTACTTTTTTATGAATATGAATAGACCACATCAAGACTAAAAGTATCTGTCTCTTGTGGTTTAATATGTATCTTTCTTTGTTTGATCTCCTCTGTGCACTTTATTGGAAACTAGTAAATAAGACTGAAAAAGTCCAGTCACTGTAGATTTCGTCAATTATCATCTGTTTCATTTCAGTTTTTAATTTTCCTTTCAGTTAATATGCCAGTTATTCTTTTTTTCCTGGAGGCATTTTTGAAAGCATCTAGTTTTTTGTTTCCTTTCCCTTTCCTCGTATTTGGCTTCCAAAGCATATGATAGGAAGAAATTATATGCAGTGGCTTTTAAAAATAAAATGAGGTATAAGTCTTTTGCAATTAGAGCATTAAAAAAAAAATCACTTGAGACTTTGTAAGAGACTTTTTCAGAAATATTAAGTGGCACATAAAACTTTACTGAATTGGGCTTTTATTGTGAGTTTTGTTTGTTTCCAAATACATTTTGGAGTGATGTTATCTCTTACCTTGCCTGGTGTTTGTTTCTGTCTATGATCTCTTTCAGCCTTTCTGTGTTGTGTTAATAATTTAGAGTTTCAGTTGCTTGATATTTAAACTTCAAAGCCATAGTCATTACCATTTTGACGTTTTTGTATACTAGTTTGCCCTACACAGAGTCTACATTTTCTTAGCCACTGCATTTTTTTTATTCTCCACAGGCATTCGGTCAGTCCAATGTAGAACCAGAAAAGACTTCACTTTGTAATTTGCCTCTGCCCCCTCCTTCAGCATTTTCAGGAATGAGCTGTGATGTTGCACAGTCATGTTCCTCCAGAGTGCCAGAAGATGTGGAGGAGGATGAGTTTGGTTACAGCTGGAGTAAGTTTATCCTTTGTGATAATGTTTGCAATACTCGATGTTAAAATAGCACTGCATAAGATATGGGAGTGGGGTCATCCTGTTTGAACTGCTTCTTTATCATGTGCTTCGTGGTTTGGATGTTAAGTGTTGCTCTTTTAGTTGTGCTTGGTCAAGTGCTCATGGTAAGATATGAAACGCATTTTTTCTTGATCATTGTACTACAATCTCTGTTTTCCTCCATGGTCTAAATTCGTTGTTTCACATGTAGTACTACTCAGAGAATTTCATTGTACTCCTATTAACTGATGACAATGATTGATGTGATAGTTTCTGTTACCTGAAGGCGTTACTGGAGAGAATATTATTGCTTTTATGTGTGAAAAATCTTTTTTTAAGAAAAGTTTTAATGTTTTCTGAAATTATAAGGAAAACAGGAAACTAGAAATAATATTGTAAATCACCTAAGGCTTAGCTTAAAAGAAGGTGTGGTTTACACTGAAAATTTTCTCATCCAGTTTGTGATTTTTCTGTCAGATACTGCCCACTGGACACTGATCTTGACTCTAGGTGACTTGTGAAACTTTCTAATATAAATCCAACCTCTGCTGCCCACACTTTTACATTTAGAAAAGATCGTGCAGCGCTATGGAAATCTACCAGGGGAGTTACACATGATTGAACTGGAAAAAGGAAGGACAGGTCTGGGACTTAGTCTTGCTGGTAACAAAGACCGATCCAGGATGAGTGTCTTTATAGTGGGAATTGATCCTAATGGAGCAGCTGGAAAAGATGGCAGGTTACAGATTGCAGATGAGTTGCTAGAGGTGAGTTTTTTCAATTTATACTGAAACCCAAACATACTGATTTAAAATGCAGTAAGATAGTGGATTCTTTCTGCAATATGGATGTTCTTCAGTGAACTTTGAAATCCCCAGTTTATCCAATGTATCACTATGCTATGAGATTTTCCTTCTGATATAAGCGAATTAGTTGCAGCTTTTCTGGCTATAGTAGTGCTAAGTAAAGGTGTGTTTGTGTATTTAAAATGGAAAAAATGGGGGATAACAGCAGTTTTGGGGTTGTGGAGACATATAGAAGGGCAATGAGTTGCAGACTATGAAAAATACTGAAATCCTTTAGTCCATCTGTTTTTGGAGTGCTCCAGACCTCTCTGATTACTTCCCTAGCTATAGAAGTGTGATAATAGCAGAATATTTTTATGTTGTGTAACACGGAATATGGAAATTAAATTGGGGAACCAGGAACAGATCCATTTTTATTATATACTTCTAATCATTACATATTCGGGTGCTGTTTTCTAATGGAGTGAAATGACCAAACCACTAAATATGCAGCTAACATTTCCAATAGGTATATGAGCATAAAGGATATTTCTGTATTACCACAGCTCAGTTGATGATACCTGGAGATGTCTTCTCTGCTACAGCATTTCTCATTTTCTGATAGCCATAGGTAACATTACCATCACAGAAATGCTTTGTGTAACTTCAGAGCTGTATGTGGAGGAATTTGCAGATGTATTGGGGAGATGGTACGGGGGAGGGAATGGTGAGTCTGAACAAAGCTTGACATTAAGAGGGTAAATATATAGCCTCGTAGCTGCAGATTAAAAAAGAAACTAAAAGATTTGTGGTGCCGTGGACCAAGTCTCATGGAGGGAACTTAGTTGAAAAGCCCAGTGTTACCTGCTTGACAGTTCTCTTGAAACATCTGTTTTTAAAATCTTCATGTTGCAGTTATGGAGTATTCTGAGGACATACTGATACACAGCTGTCTGAGTCTGCTGTCATGTGATTTCATGCTTACTGTCCACACTGCAGACCTACAGACTAATGCTAAGAAATTATCTCAACCCCTTCTGAGAGGAGACATCTGAGCTTGCTTCCTGTATTCCCAAGTAGCTGTCCATCAGCTGTTGTGGGTCATGTTCCATCCCCCACCTGGCAGCCTAACCAGGGTTTTCCACAAGCCTATGGCAAACACTGCGGGAAGTGCTGCATTTGGATTGTCAACTCCACTGTAAATGACAGGGCTCAGTATCCCTGTGACCATATCTGGTGGACACAGCCTGCTTAGAAGCTGAGCAATTGTTATGCTCAGCCCTCAATTCAGTGATTTGCATCTGTTGCTCACTGTTCACTGTGTCTCTGCTTCTATTAATACTACCTTTGTGTATTGTGTTACTTTCCCTTTGTCTGGGTCCCAGCTGTCCTTTTCCAGTCATTTCTCTTTTCTTAAAATGGACTTCTCCACTGTGGTTTTCCATTTCCAAAAAAAGGCAACTAATAAAATGTGAGCAAGTAATGGCCTTAGTCTGCAAATTCATACTGATATGTCCAGTTGTATCTGAATCATAGGTGCTTCAAGGTGTTATAGTGAGCCTGCTCATGCCAAATGAAGACAATGATTGTCAGGTCAAAACTTCAGATAGTAAATGTAGAATCATAGAATGGCTTGAGTCGGAAGGGACCTTAAGTATCATCTAGTTCCAAGTCTCCTGCAGTGGGACGGATAGCCAACCACTAACTAGATCAAATAGCTCAAGGCCCCATTCAGCTTGGCTTTTAACACTTCCGGGGATGGAGCGTCCACAGCTTTTCTGGGCAACTTGTTCCAGTGCCTCACTATCCTCTGGATTAAGAATTTTTTCCTGACATCTAACCTAAAACTTTCCTTTCAGTTTCAGTCTTGCCCCTTGTCATACTCCTACCACCCCATGTAAAAAGTCACTCTCCCTCTTTTTTATAAGCCCCCTCTAAGTACTGGATGGCTGCAATGAGGTCTCCCCGGAGCTTTCTCCAGGTTGAATAACCACAACTCTCAGCCTGTCTTTACAGGAGGGGTGCTTTAGCCCTCTGGTCATCTTGGTGGCCGTCTTCTGGACCTGTTCTGACAGATCCACATCTTGCGCTGAGAACTCTAGACCCTGCTTTTTGGTTACAGTAGGAGAGACTTCACTTCCCCAACCTCCAACTATAGGTTCAGGAACATGAGAGATGTGGGAAGCCAGACTGCCAGCGAAGGCTGAGGTGAAGAACTTGTGAGTTCCTCAGCCTTCTCCATATCCATTGTCACCAACATTCCCTTCTCATTTGTCTGGAGGGTACACTCTCCTTGGCCTTTCTTTTCTGACCTATAATATCCATTCTGATAACTCTTTGCTTCCCTCGCCAAGTCCCATTCCAAGCCTTAGCTTTCCTGATCCCATCCCTACGCAGCTGCACCATATCCTTGTACTCTTCCCTGATCATCTATGCCTGGTTCAGGCTGTGCATTTCCTTCTGACTCTTTGTGCTGGTTTAAAGGTAAACCAGCAGAGGAAATGAACTCAACTCAAAAGAGAGATTATAAATCAGAATAACAATTTAATAAAATAATACAATAAGTACGATTATACAGACAAACAATTGGTTTTAACCCACAAAACCCAAATATATAACCCAGCACCCTGGGGCATGAACAGAGTGGTGTTCTTCGGGCCCTCTGAGTCCAAAGGAAAAGGAGAGGGGAAAACCTGTTGGTGAGAGTGCTGTTGCAGCCTGGTCAAGAGTGGTGGTTGCAGTCTGGTTGAAAAGTGGTGGTTGCAGTCCAGTCGAGAGTGGTGGTCTGCAGTCTGGTTGAGAGTGGTGATCTGCAGTCTTCCTCTGGATCCCACCAGTGGTTAAAAAGGTCCCAAGACTCCAAGATTATATATTCTCCAGTTCAATCAGGAATGCTCAGTACCTCCCTCAGGGTGGGGAGTTCCTTAATGGGTGTGAGGACAAAAGCAACTCCTATCTTGCAGGCCTCTTAGCACCTGGTTTATAGCCTGAGGAGTCAGGCTCTATGTGCAGATAGTGTAAATGGTTAATTGATAACAGTTTCTGGAAACGGCATATGGAAGGCTATAGAATACACAGTTTTGGGTTACACCCATCCAGTGATGAACTGGGCCCAGCTGTCCTAACTAGAACACTCTTGTATTAGTCCATTGGGATACATGCCTGGAATAAAGACAAGTACAACAGACATTCAAACACTACAAAAAATCTTTTATTGCAGTGAGAATAAAAGAACTAGCAAAGAGAAGCAAAAGCTAAAAAAGAATATAAAATAACTACTTTACTGGTTGGCATTCATACAATACTATGAACAGCTTTCATTACAGTATTAACTAGTAAAAAGGGAATTAAAGGGACACTAAAAAAGGATATTAAAACAATACTACGGACAACTTTTAAAACAGTATTAACTAGTAAAAAGGGAATTAAAGGGATACCAAAAAGAATATAAAAACATTTGTTTTCTCTGTTGTTTCCTATCAAGAAACTGTGTTTACCTACACAGACAGGCCAGGGCTACCAGGATCTGCAGCAGCTGGTTGGTACCCGTGCTTAGCGGGCGTCCCCACGGAGCAACACAGTCTCAGTGGAAGGATGAGTGTCGCTCAGCTCAGCAGTCCTGACACCCCATTTTTATCAGGACTTTGTCCTGGAGGGGTATACCACACACTGTGTCTTATACACCCGACTACTACAGGGGGTGTTAGAGGTATAGATGCAATGTATACTAAAGAACAGAGTGGGCCAGGGTGTAAAATAACAGTATGGTCAGCAGTGTTTTTGATACCCAGCAACACAGGTTTAGTACCATCTTGTACTGGATTTAACAAGGTTAAGCCTTTGGTTACTGCTCGTGGAGTTAAAGCAAGTAATTTCACAAGGGGCACCGATGGAGCTTTTAGGTCGCTCCCATTTGACTTCTTGTGGCCCATAACTGTGTGTAAGCTCTAAAACTGTGGCTTCACCCTACTATACCATACTGGCGACCTGCTTGGTAAGATACTTTTGTATTAATATTTACTTTATATACTGTGGGAGGTTCTCTTTTCATTAGAAGCAGAGGAGTTGTGGTGGGGGTTAGTGCTTAGTTATTCAAAACTCATACCGCCTCTGTTATATGGTCCACCCACTGCGTGAACTTTCCTTCTCCTAACCATTTCAGTTGTTATTTGAATAACCCATTCAGACGCTCAATCAGCCCAGCCCCCTGAGGGTGATAAAGCAGGTACCACACCCAGTGCACTTGCTGCTCATCTGCCCATTTTTGTACCATGTGGTTTTTAAAGTGTGACACATTATCTGTATTTCTACTGGAGTCCCATAATAGGTTTCAATGGTGTCTAACATTCTAACAGTGGTAAACACATTTGCATACCAGCTGGGAACAGCTACAAAAACTCCAGAGTATGTATCTACTGCAGTACACACATATTGCTGCCTTTGGTGCTCAGGTAATGGCCCAATAAAGTCAAACTGCTGTCTCTCTGCACTACTCGACCCTTTCTTCAGGGACCCTAGGGGAACTACTTTTTGTGCTTGCTGTTTGATTATCTGACAAACTGAGCATTTCTGTATCACGCCAGACACAATGGTAGTAGACAAATGTACTCCTCTCTGTTTTCCCCACTAAATGGTGGCATCTCATCCTCCATGCCCTGGCTTTTCATGAGCCCACATTGCTAATGCTGTTTCTTCACTACTGTTTATGGGCCCTTACTTGTGTAGTAAGTTTGTCTGCTAATTGATTACCAGTATGTGTGGGAGTGGTGTTAGTGATATGAGCATCCATATGATATACCCACACATCCTGGCCTTGCAATAAGGTATATATTTTTTCCCACCATTGTTGTCCTCAAATTGTTTTGCTTCCAATTTTCCACTGGGCTTTTTCCCAAATGGATAACCAATGAACTAGCCCCTGAGCTACTGCCCATGAATCAGTGTACAAGTAACATATAGTATTTGGAGATGATGCCTCCAGGGCTTGCCATACTGCAACTAACTCAGCCAGCTGGCTACTACCCATCTCTCCTTTAGTGACCAGGCGTGTACGTGTCATGGGATTGATAGCAACTGCAGTCCATTTCCCCTGATGGGCACTACCACCATCTGTAAACCAGGCATTGTGTTTCTGTTCATCTGGCAAGCTTTCATATGGCACTCCCCACCTCCCTAGCTGTATGTTTTGCATAAGCTGGTTTTCTTTCTCTTGAAGACTGGCATCCTTGACACTACTGCTTACTTGCTCATGTAGTGTGTGTAAGTTTCGAGCTGTTGCCTAAAGAGACTGCTGAAAAAGAGACTCCAGGCCAAATTAGAGTATAAGATAAGAAAGCAGAAAGCTTTAATGAGCCACCAGGCTCCAGGAATACATCCGTTGCGCGCACCGTGTTCAGGGGGTTCTACAATTTAAGGTGTTAACCCATCCAATCCCAGGTCTGTGCGCCCCCTGGTTCTGCCCCCTTCTGCCCCCTGGCACACCCCTCCAGGAATTGAGGCAGGGGCTCTGGGACCCCCTCTTCCTCATCCTCCTCCTCGTCACAGCATGTCCAGTCCTTGGAGCTCCTCCAAAGTTCTGGGTTTGAAGGTCGCTGTGCCTGTGTGGTATCTTGTTGTCCAGGCCAGGGTGCAGATGGTCTTAAACAGCATGAAGGCCTAAGGGAAGTCTTGAGGGAAGTCTAAACAAGCTAACGGAATTAACGGAATTGATGTGGGAAGGGGAGCAGTGTTGGGAACATGTATAAACTACTGTGCTAAAGGGTGAATGATAATACAGCTACTTTAAAATCTACATTCACTACATAACTACTTCTAAAGCCTATAAAAATTAAAAAATCAAAAACTCCACGGCAACAGGCCCCAGCTTTTGCATGCTCCTGAATGTACCACCTCATTTTTACTATTGTCTGTCCTTGTGCACTACCGATTTTATTGGTTGCTGTAGGTCCTAGAGCTCAGGATACTACTGGAGATAGAGTCCTATTACCTCGTGTCCTGCTGTCCGATCCTCTGTGTCTAGCAGTCCCCAATACCCAGCTGCTAACTGTTTTTCAAAGGGAGTGTACTTTTCCTCTGCTCCCCGAAATCATTGGGACAAAAATGCAAGTGGCCTGTGTCGCCCATCTTGTAGTTGCCATAAACTCCGTAGAGCAACATCTTGTTCTACTGACACCTGTAATTCAACGGGTCCTGCCTAAATGGGGTGTAATTCCATGTGCTCTTGTATCAGGTTTTTGGCTCCCTCAAATGCTACCTGTTGCTCACTGCCTCATTCAAACACAGCTTTTTTCCTTGTCACTTTGTGCAATGGTTTTAATAAAATGACTAACCCTGGCAGGTACGACAGTCAAAACCCAACAGCTCCTAGAAATTGCTACATTTCTCATTTAGTTGTGGGTGTTGGCCATTCCTTTATGGCCTGCCTTGTCTGCTCTGGTACTTCTTGTTTCCCAGCATGCCAGTTATCCCTAGATATTTTACACTCATAGCTGGCCCCTGTATCTTTTTAGGGTTGACAGCCCACCCATCTTTTTTCAGTATGTCTACTACTTTCTTGAGAGCATCACCTGGCTCTTGCTCTGTATTGCCATGGATTAGTATGTCATCTACATACTGTACTGTCTGGACTGAGGGGTTCAGATTTGGAAGCTGCTTCAGGGTTCGATGTATAGCCTGGTGACAATAGGTTGGACTGTGTTTATACCCTTGCGGGAGCCTTGTGAATGTATATTGAATACCCTTCCAGGTAAAGGCAAACTGATCCTGTGCTGCCTGTGGTATGGGAATGGTAAAAAAGGCTTTAGCTACATCTGTTACTGCATACCAATCACCTGGGTGGTTTTGGATTTCATGAGCTAAATCTGTAACAGTAGGTACAACAGCTGTAATTGGTGGAGTAGCTTTATTAACACCCCTATAATCTATGGTCATTCGCCATGACCCATCTGATTTTTTCGCGGGCCATATGTGGGAGATAAATGGGGAATGAGTGTACCTCACTACTTGTGCCTCAAGTAGTTCTTGGATTGTTGTTTGAATTTCCTCATCTCCACCTGGAATCTTATACTGTTTAAGGTTGGCAATTTGCGTACAAATAGGAATGTTTGCCTCTTCCTGTATCTTCCCTACTTGCATGGCTTGTATGCGCCACTGTGTGGACCCAAATGACCACAGGGTGTTGTCAGTCCATAAGTCCATTCCTCTAATAAGATCAATCCCTATTATATTTTCAAATATTTTTGCTACCATGACTCTGTAAGGTTTTGGTGGATTGTCTGCTATTTGTAGTGTTATTTCAAGCATACACCCCTGAACTACCTGTTCTCCAAGGCCCCATACAGGTGCTGGGTCCCCCTTATGTTTGTCAGGATTGCCATGAACAATACTGATCTCCGCCCTAATATTAACTAATGCTAGCACAGTTTACTTGTTCTTAGTGGACCAATGTATTGTACAAGTGGTAAAAGATCGTTGATCCTTACGAACACAGCAAGCATTGGGGGACTGCACTGGGGGTTGGCCACATCCCTATTCAAGTTTATGGTTCCCCTCGTCCGGAGGAGCATTAGCCTTTGCTGCCTCAAACCCTGAAAGTACTGGATCTGTGTTAAGGAACCAATCGACTGTCTTCTGCATCTCAACCCGGAGATATATCCGTTCTTGTTTTGTTGCTCTTCTAATTTGGTGCTGTCGGGCTAACCTCCGTAAGGCTTCTGTTGGTTGCCCAACAATATCTTTTTTTGGAACTCCTTTTTTAAGTAAATCTTAAAATAACTTAGTTCGTTCCCCTTTTTCTCTTTTCCCTCCTCTCCGGTTTTCATTATTGTCTCGTTTATTCCCATGGTTGGCTGCTTTATCTGTGTGTGAGAGACCTGGAAGGTCACCGAGTTGCTGCAACCTCTCTACAATCTTTTCTGTGGGCACCCCTGGGTTAGACACCAACAGCGGAATAATATATGGTTTCCAGGGTAAAGGACAGTCTTCTAATAATTTGTTTCTCATTACTGAGGTTAAAGGCTGTTGCATGTAAAGTTTGGGGCTCTGCAATTCAATAGCAAATTTCATCGCTTCCCCTTTCAATATCCTGATTGCTTGATGAAGAGTTACCCAGGATGAATTTCCATCCTGCCATGATCCATCATTAGTAAAACGGTCACTAAGACCTTCAGCAATGACTGAAACTAAAGTTTTACTAACTCCTGGTGTTTGTTTTGAACGCCGAAGACCATTTTGTACATATGCATCATTAGTTAACCCTAAAAACTTCATGTCATCAACATTGTCTACTATCACAGAGTCAGCCCCATGCTCCATTAATCGAACCATCCACATTTGTACTAGTTCCCCAGGTTGCTGAGAATATTTAGATAAAAGATTGTTAATGTCTTCTGGGGAGAAGTCAACAATCTCATCCTGTCTCACTTGTTTACCCTGACTATCCAGCACTGCCTTCTGCCATACAACAGGGGCTGCCCTTGCTTCCTGTGTCAACTCATCTGTTCTTGATGGCTTCCCTGAATTTTCTATAGAATCATCCTCATCAGAATCATCACTACTACTCCATATATTACCATCCCACTTCTCTGGGTTCCAATCAGGGGAAGTGACTACATCACGCACCTGTGGACTCCAATCACTTCGTTCTATTTTCCTTTGCCTGCACCGAATAGTTCTTCCAACATATTTTTCAGCTAAAGTAACACATTTATCTTCTACCCTGTTCTTTTCAGTTTGAAGGTCAAGTAAAACCTGGCGTTGTACCAATTGAGTGGCTCTTACAGCATTCAGCTGCTCCTGCAGTTTGTTGTTCTTTTCTAATTCCTTTTGCAAGTTTTCTACAGTTAACTTATATGCAACAAGCAGCGCACCCCCCATACGTCCAGCATGTTCCAAACAAATGCTTGATTTAGTAGTAGGGATTTGTGTAAGCTGCTCCCAATATTGCAGTACCGCCATAGGGGTCTGCTGTCCCCAATATTCAGAGTAAATCTTTGTACATGTTTCCCATTTATTCCATAAGGTATTCCATGACTCCTGCCCCCATTCTACTAATTCACAGGGAGGAGCAGTGGTTTTCTTGGGTTTATTGCCACCTGCGGCCAACCCTCCTAACCACTTCTTCATTTTAATCTACTGAATGTTCTCACTAACAAATACAGTTTCAGACTGAACACAACAATACACACCAGTCCTCAAAATGTGGCCCTTACACCACAAATGAATCTAACCACACATACACATCAAATCTAAAGTCTGTGTATATACCAACCACAGAATACACTCTACAATAGCTCTAAATGGATCCTCAAAAAGACATAAAACAACAATAATTGCTCAGAAGTACTTCCCATATAGTAACTTAATCAACAAAAACTGGTTCAAAACAGGCAAAAAACCAAACAAAACATATAAAACACAGACATCGGCACCCTCGGCACCCCCCCCACACACACAGGGTTAATTGAACTCTATGTTTCACACCCCATATAGGGACATGGCTTCACAGGCTGTGCTCTCCACCTGAGAATCTCCCTTCTCACACAACTCATTCGAGGACGCAGCTCTACAGGCTATGCACTCCGCCTGAAAATCTCCCCAGCACTCACGCAGGGACACAGCTTCATTGGCTAAGCATTCGACCAACGAATTTCCCTATACAGTACTGCTTTATTCCACCATGTATCCTGCCGACTACGCCAATTTATGTATTGGTCTGTTAGGATACATGCCTGGAATAAAGGTAAGTACAACAGACATTCAAACACTACAAAAAATCTTTTATTGCAGTGAGAATAAAAGAACTAGCAAAGAGAAGCAAAAGCTAAAAAAGAATATAAAATAACTACTTTATTCATACAATACTATGAACAGCTTTCATTACAGTATTAACTAGTAAAAAGGGAATTAAAGGGACACTAAAAAAGGATATTAAAACAATACTACGGGCAACTTTTAAAACAGTATTAACTAGTAAAAAGGGAATTAAAGGGATACCAAAAAGAATATAAAAACATTTGTTTTCTCTGTTGTTTCCTATCAAGAAACTGTGTTTACCTACACAGACAGGCCAGGGCTACCAGGATCTGCAGCAGCTGGTTGGTACCCGTGCTTAGCGGGCGTCCCCACGGAGCAACACAGTCTCGGTGGAAGGATGAGTATCGCTCAGCTCAGCAGTCCTGACACCCCATTTTTATCAGCTCTACATTACACCACGTAGGGCCAGTACATAGTATAAGGGGATGCTTGAGTGGCAGCCAAACACCGCCTGTTCATTCCCTAATAGCAGCAGTCTGTGCATGCCCTGCTGTAGGGCAAGGGGCAAACGACCCCTGCCCACGTAATCTTCGTCTCACCGTCATCTTTCTCGCCCCTACGTACGACCTCTAGCATTGTGTTTCAAGGATATTTGTATCCATCTTGCAGTAGGGAGCTAAGCCAAGGAGGAACTCAGCTCTGATAATAGGGGACATCTAGTTGACTTGCTAAAAGAATGCAATGGACCTTACAGTTAACTTGTGCCATAAAGTTACATTGTACAATACTCTGGTTGGTTTCACATCCTAATATAATTACTTTCTCACGCCTCTGTGCTCCATTGATCATCTAATTCTAAAGTACCCCCCTTACACTCTTCAGTCTGAAGAGCAGATCCTTGCTCAGCCGTGCTGGTTTCTGACCTGCCTTGCTTGTTTTCTTACACATGGGGATGGACACCTGGGCTCTAAGTGTCCTCAAAGAGCTGCCACCTCTGGTCAGTTCCTCTGTCCTTAAGAACAGTTTCCCAGGGAATCTCATCCCCTAATTCCTTAAACAGCTGGTATTTCATTATTCTAAGTTTCAGGGTCGATCCTAACTCTGCTCTTTTTCTGGCCTTTTTTCATTGAGATCAGTAACTCAACCAGGGCATGGTTGCTACAGCCCACACTGCCTCCAATCTTAATCTCTCTGATGAGCTCATCCACACTGGTGAGCGTGGGGTCCAGTAAAGCTTCTCCTCTGGTTGGTGTGTCCAATGCCTGAACCAGGAAGTTGTCCTCAATGCACTCCAGGTGTCTCCTGTATTGCTTGCAGTCGGCTGCTTTCCCAGCAGACATGGGTGGTTGAAATCCCTATCAGGATGAGAGCTTGTGAGCACAGTTCTCCTTGTATCTGAAGCAAGAAGTCTTGTCAACAGGCTCCCCTGACCAAGGTAGCCTGTGGTGGACACCAATCACATGATGTCCCTTGTTGGTCCTGTCTTTGGTTTTTACCCACAGGCTCTCGACCTGTTTGTGACTGTTCCTCAGAGGCAGCTCTTCACAATCTATCCATTCCTTAACACAGAGCACAACACACCCACCCTTCCTTCCCAGCCTCTCTCTTCTCTGGAGCTTTTAGCCCTCAATTGCAGTTTTCCATTTTTCCAGATGAAACTCATCCCACCTGTTTCTCTGAGAGCAATTAGGTCATAGTTTTCTAATTGCACCATGGTTTCCAGCACCCATGCTGCCCACATTGGTGTAAAAGCACTTGAGCTGGGCTATTGACCTCTTCACCTTTTGAGAGGAACCCTTCTTAATTCCTTTGAGATGACTTACAAGTATTTCCCTGCTGCTTCTTAAAGTGTTGGTGTTTCCTCATTCCTCTCTGACACACAAAAGTACATTCCCTTCCCCCACCAAATCTAGTTTAAAACTCTGCTAAACGTTCCAGTGTTCAGACCTCTATGTGTAAAGTGCCTTGCTCAGTGATTCAAAGTGGCTGAGATTCAATAAATAATAGCAATCTCATTCCTGGATATAAGCAATTCAATATTTGTTATGGTTAGAATTTCCCATAGCCCTGCTTTATCACCACATCAGTCATGAAGTGATCAATGGCAAGTGAAAATAGATGATGTGCCACGTCAACCCAGTATAATTCAGAGAATGGCATTTTTAGCACTGTGACAATGTTAGTTTGAAATCAAACTGTAGTGAATATTTTTACTGTAAGAAGGGAGGGAAAGCAGGACACAACATGCTCTCTTATTTTAATACAGTTGCTGCTTTAGCAAGCGACGTGGAATGAATGATTTTTTTTTAAGGTTTAAAAATTAGTTTAAATATAAGTAGTTAAAATATTTTGATAAATAATTGCTACTTTTCTTTAGATAAATGGGCAAATACTTTATGGAAGGACTCATCAGAATGCTTCCTCAATAATCAAGTGCACACCATCTAAAGTAAAAGTGATCTTTATCAGGTAAGTTCTGGTAAAAGTTTGGCTAAAAAGGTTTATTTTTTAATGTGCTCAAGTTTTGCAGAGAGTTTTTTTGTTTGTTTGTTTGTTTAATTTTGGTAAGGTATATGTGCTTTTGATCACAATCTTAGTAGTTGTTAAATATGCCTTGGAGTTTTTTGTTTTGATACTTCTATTGCTAGAACCAGAAATAAGGTAAAATAAAGCACTAGACCTAAACTTGTCCTTAGAAATATTGTGGTATATTACTGCCTTCTTACTGCATTCTTTAACTGAATTTGTTACAGAAATAAAGATGCAGTAAATCAGATGGCTGTTTGCCCTGCAAAGTCAGTAGAGGGTTCACAAAGTACTTCACAAAGTACTTCAGCACTTCAACATCAAGAGGTAAATATTTGTTTTTCTTATTTGACCAAGATACTAACATTGTTCTGGATAGAGGAGTGCTCTGTCTGCTTATAATGTACCATAAAAGAGAAAGAAACCAAATAGAAGAACAAAGTTCTTCTTCTGTTCTGGGCTACTAAGTTTATTACATCTGTGCTCAATTTTGTTTCGTTTTATATTCTTCTATACCATGAAGTAAGTCTGACTTCCCATTGATAGGGTAATAGCAGTTTAAATGAATCTAGAAAATTATCATACTCACTTTAAGCGGTTATGAGCTACTTTATTTTGATGCAAAATGTTGGAAATAGTTGCTTACAGTTACATTTTCATTTTCTTTTAGACTGATGCAAGTGTTGCAAACTCTAGTGCTTTTTCTGACTTGAGTTCATGTAAAAACATTCAGTATGTGGAACTTCCTAAGGTATGTGATGAAAATTAAATTTATATCAGTCATGCTTGTATTCACTAGCCTCCATTTTTGTAATGGAGTCCCTGTTATGGGAAACAAAATGTGTCTCTTAGTTACTAGAAGTTAGAAAAGTGATTTCTAGAGGTCTTCTCTTCCTATTTGTGAATGGACCCCAAAGTTTTCCTCACATGATGACTGTCTTTGAGTCATGAGTTGCTTTAACTTCACATAAATTTGCCAATTGTTCTGTGTCTCTGGAAGAAGTCGTCTTTTGTTCTGTTTGAAAAACTTTTGGTGGTCCCTCAGGTAAAATCATTGCCTAAGTTATTCAAAATAACAACTGAATCACAATTGACCTTGTAAGTTTCGAAGGAGTGGGTTTGAATTTAGAAGTGGTTCAGATTTATCTTGGTAGCCAGTATACTGTTTGTAGGCTGGTGGAACCTATTTCAGACATAGATTAGTTTAAAACAACAGTACTGATGCATTGTGAAAAACCTAACTTTTGTTATGTCAGCAGGCTTCACTAGTCTTCAGTGAATGTATTTTGACATTTTGATATACACAGTACTTAACCATTTGCATTTTTCTGTTTGCCTTAGGATCAAGGAGGCTTTGGAATTGCCATTAGTGAAGAAGACACGATTAATGGAGTAGTTATTAAGAGCTTAACAGATAATGGTGCAGCAGCAAAGGTGTGAGAATATTTAAATTTCAATTAGGCAATGAAAAATAGTTTTTTGAAGTAGCATCCAGAGCTCATATTTTTTATTCTATGTTTTTTTCAGGATGGACGAATCAAAGTTGGTGATCAGATTCTGGCAGTGGATGATGAGATTGTTGTGGGATATCCTGTAGAAAAGGTGCCTCTGAAGTGTCAGGAATGTTGCAGAAATCTCACTGCTTAATGTGGGAGTGATTGTATCTTAAACCAGCAAGGTTTTCATGACTGTACTCTGACTTAATTTTCAAAGCTGGCTAAAAAAGCAAAGATCTGCAGGCACTGTCTGGATAAGGAAACTATTGCAGAATAAGCTAAAGTCTAAATTTAAAGCTCAGCTGTTATTTTACATTCATTCACTACATGAATCATCTATCTCTGTGCTACAAATCTGATATTATTTTCTCTGTGGTTTAGACCTGATGCCTGAGAGGCACTTAGTAGTGCAATAAAAGCCGTGAACTATTGCTCAGTAATGACTCTGCATAGCTACTCCACTTT